GCCGCGAGGTGGCGCCTATGAATGAAATCAGGTAAGATGCAGATCGGTAATTAAGGAACTCCTTGGAACAGAGTCCTTCTTCAAAAGCTGATAGTCGCTCTCTTAGTCAAGATATAAATGCGGGCAGGGGCTGAAAAATTGTACCACTTACATACAGGAGCATCGAGGAAAGTGTGAATAGATAGGAGGACTTTTGCTACAAAGTTGGTTTAAGAATGCGATTTGCTTGTTAATTCAATTGAATTATGATTTAACAATGACGAGCGAACAATTGCTTTCTGCTAGAGGAAATGCATCTCCATCAGAAATAAATGAGCATAGCAGAGCGTGTACTTATATCGTTTCAGATTGGCTTTAGGTTTGGCAGTTCTGCGAGGTTCAGTGTACGCCATGGGCGGTCGAGATGATGATCAGATTCACAGAACGGCGGAAAGATACGACTGCAAGGCGAACCAGTGGTCGTGGATCGCTCCCATGAACACAAAACGATACGGTGGAGGTGCGGCTGTACTGAATGGTACGTAAATCCTGTGAAACAGAAATTTGTGAATTGTCTGCCCGCGTGTAAAAACGCAAGAACGGTTGAAGGAATCGCGAGATTTGAGAGTCTCACGGTGGCTGGTACGAAGATGGCTGTCGTTTGGCTTCCGCCGACGTTTCAGACGAACATTATGCCCTCATCATCAAAGCATTCCTCTTCGCTTTTAATATTGTTTCCTTCATTCCATCGTCCCATATTAATTTATTATCTATTCCTTTTATCCGTGCTACGGACTACGTTACTTCACAGATTACAAAGGCTTGAAGTTCTAAGTGCGTGATGGTTTCTTCTGCTCTCGTAAGCTGTCCCTGTGCGTCGTCTTCCGCCTTTTAGTGTGCACTAGGCGTGAGTGCAAACAACCTTCAAACTGGCTCTCAAATAATACAGATGTAATATGTTTTTGAGACGGTTAATAATCTCAAGTAAATAGCGCATTATATTATAAATGTAGAGCACCTTTTAGCAGCTCGTACCGTACATCTCTGGTACCAAATTTGATAAAATTCGTTTCACAGACGATGTAACTTACCATCATTTCCATTAATCATTAATTTAGGCACTTTATGCTGTTTATGTTAAATTTCATCAGTTACTCTCGATTCTTTTGACACGCTGATTGTCTGCATTCGAAACAAAGAAACAGATGAACAGAGGCAGATTCTGTGACACGAAGGGGTCATTAATAGATTTACAAATTTAAGTAGGGATTGTCCCATGTTTGTGATCTGTATGGACCAGTTTTAATGCCACTGCCTACACCAAATATGTGTACAGTTCGTGTCATATGGTCAATTTGTTTTTACAGACAAAATATACGTCGCTGGTGGAAGTAATATTGAGAATTTTCTAAACTCGGTGGAAGTTTATGACCCAGACACCGACCAATGGACGTTCGTTGCACCAATGCTTTCTGGACGTGACTATTTTTCTTTCGTCGAGTTCCACGGCTGTCTGTACGCCCTAGGTGAGAA